AACTATACCTAATGTACTATTATCTACTCCTACGTTGACGAGCTGTGACTTTATGGCGTTTTAGTCACGGGCTGAAGTTGGCAACAGTGGCTTTTGGGCTTTTTGGTCACGGGCTTCATTATAAATTGGGAAAAAGTGGGTGACAGTTGACAGATGTCAAATTTTTAACAAATAAAATTGGCTTTAAATTTTGTTTTGCGTTCGTCGTATATAAAGTATAGCATGCAACTCGTTTATAAACATCTCTAAAAACTCGCTCGTAAGCTTCGGTGTTGCTTAATTAAACTTGTAACTAAAACAGCGTTTATAAAACTTGATACATAATTCGTTTATAAACTTCTCTAGTGTTCACTCTTCTTATTAAATATTTGCTAGCAGTCTTTGCTCGTGCCTAATTAAACTAAAACGAAGTTTATAAAACGATACATAATATAATATATATATATATATATATATATATATATAATATATTTTCTACTCCCACGTTTAAAACGCAAATGTTCCCATGACACTAAGTGATGTTTTAAATACACATTGAAAAGCTGTGACTTTCTAGCGTCTTAGTCAAGGAATGAAGTTAGCAGCAGTGTCTTTCTGGATTTTTAGTCACGAGCTGAAGTTAGCTGTAAGTTGTCAAATGTCATATAATCGTCAAAATAAAGTACCCTTTTTCTGAAATACCTATTACTAAAATGTGGTTATTTTATTATCTCAAAGGAAAATTCCAAAATTATTAAATAAATGGTTTCGCCAATCTTAAAATAGTTTATATGCACGTTTGTACTGACCTTTTAATTTCGCCGGCAGGAAACTAGAAGGCAGCATTTATAATTTCGGGTGAAGTAACCATGGGAACTTTCTCTTCACTTTCGCGGTGAAAAACTGCTTCTATATTGGATTTAAACAGTTGTTACTCCAAATACAATGAACTGACACACACATTTTAAAAGCCGGCAAAACAGATTCCTGACAACAATTTTGGTTGCTCTATTTTTGTGTAGATGTCGCTATATCCAAATATTGTAAATGATTTAATAATATTACAAAATTATTTTTTATAAAAATGTTTGTCGTAAAAAAAATAATACGAAACACGTTTATAAACTTTTCTAGACACTCCTTTTTATTATACACTTGTGCCTAGTTAAAATTCTTGACTAAAATGGCATTTATTAAACTTCATTATATTATTTATGTAAAAATGTCAAAAATGTGTGACTTAAATTAAGACTTAATATAGCAAGTGTTAGTAGAGGATCCCAAGTAAGGTCGACCTTCACCCATCTGCTTACCAGATGAAAATTATATTTTATCAAATAAAATATGTTTCTGAACATAAACCAATAGGGTTGCCATAAAAAATATGATCAAGGCTAGCTATAATAAATAAAAAATTTAAAAAAAATAATTAATTTTTTAAATTTCACCGACTTGCTTGCCAAATGAACGAAATTCCAATGGAAAGCATACAACATACAGAATATGTAACAGCTAGGTTGCCTACCTTTTTCTGGTCCCTATTACCTGGTTGCTTTGTACAGGGTGATCCCCTATAATGTCGCCCCCCTTTAACTTTTTTATTTTAAGTGTCCCAAAAAATTTAAAAGTTTGGTTATGTAGGTACTAAAAAATACTTTTTTTCTACGTATAAAGAAAATTGGAAAATTGATCAGTATACAGGGAAAAACAAAAAGTTTATTTTTTTTCAATGGATCACCGTATATATGAATTTATTTTTCGATTCCTTGTAAAATTCTGAGCATAATTTATATAACAAACCATATACCTAAATTCAACCGTTTCTGAAATATTCGCATTCGAAATGTCATCATTAAATGTTTTTTTAAACTGTTAGAAATCAAGAAGCCTCAGTATACCAAAATTTTTATTGAAAATAAATTACTATAGTGACATTATGTCAATAAGTGTTGTTAAATAAGTAAAAATGGCGTACTCAGACAGAGAAAAACATACTATTTCAACTTATTATCTTAAAAATAATTTAAATATTTCAGAAACGGTTGAATTTAGGTATATGGTATGATATATGAAATATGCTTAGAATTTTACAAGGAATCGAAAAATAAATTCATATATAGGGTGATCCATTGAAAAAAATAAACTTTTTGTTTTCCCTGTATACTTATCAATTTTCCAATTTTCTTTATACGTAGAAAAAAAGTATTTTTTAGTTCCTACATAACCACACTTTTAAATTTTTTGGGACACTTAAAATAAAAAAGTTAAAGGGGGGCGACATTATAGGGGATCACCCTGTACAAAGCAACCAGGTAATAGGGACCAGAAAAAGGTAGGCAACCTAGCTGTTACATATTCTGTATGTTGTATGCTTTCCATTGGAATTTCGTTCATTTGGCAAGCAAGTCGGTGAAATTTAAAAAATTAATTATTTTTTTTTTAATTTTTTATTTATTATAGCTAGCCTTGATCATATTTTTTATGGCAACCCTATTGTTTTATGTTCAGAAACATATTTTATTTGATAAAATATAATTTTCATCTGGTAAGCAGATGGGTGAAGGTCGACTTTACTTGGGATCTTAGACTATGTAAATGAGAGCAAATTATAAAAAATGTTATACAGTTATAAGTCTCTTTTAACGGGAATCAAATTCTTCAGTGATTTACATATTCATTTGTTTTGGCCTACCTACGCTTATACTAAATTTAAGATAAATGTTCGTATATTTGACAAAAGGTTTTAAAATATAGATAACAGTAGAAATGTACAGAAACTGAGTTTTTGCTTTGAATATTTTATTAGGTAAATCATTAAAAAGTGAAATTTATAACTAACAACAACTTAAACTGTGTTTTTCAAATAAAAAACAAATTAAGAATATAATTAATCAATAAAACATACATACAACATACGGTTTAATAATGGTTTTAAACAATTTACCGCAACACAAAGTAACATAAAATTATAATAATTATTACAGAACTGGTTATGCTAGACCATGCTGGTCCTTACTTAAGTTCAGATGCCTAAGACCACAAGTGTCAAGGTCATTCAATAACACTGTGCGACAATTTTCGGGTCATCGAAATCAAACCGCACCGGACCATTTTTTTCTGAAAATATACCTATCCAATAGCAAAACCCTCGCTGGGTTTGTAAAAGTTAGCTCGAATTTTTTTTTTATGGCCGTTTGTATTTTTGAGCTTATATACCCTAATTTAGACCTATAAATCTATTTTTTTCGCATATATTCGACTTATATCGTTAAGATTTTTTGTAGAAATGTAGATACTGCACAAATAAACCCATTTTGTGAACAACCTTTATCCCAAAAACCCAATTTTTGGGGCCAAATATTCGAAAATATTTTTTTTAAATTTTTTTGATAATATTTAAAATTTCTTGCTACTTCTTCTGGCAAAAATGTTGTAAAGTATACTAAAAGAAGTAATTTATAAAATACGCACACAAAACTGAACTTTAAGTTTGCATATTTGCTGGAAAATAATGTTTGAACAAGATTTTCCAAAATATTCATCTTTTCACACAACACCAAATATTTTGCCGAAAAATCTGTAGGAAAAAATTGAATAGATAAAATAGAATTGTAGAAAAGTACAGAGAGTTTGATTTTTTATTTTGTATTAATTTTATTATTAAAAAACTTTTTTATATCAAAACATTGAGTAATCTGATTCATCCCTTTCACTTCTTCTCCTTTATTTCCTTGCTCTTCATTTTCATTTTTTGATTCATCACTGGAGAATTTCATCCCTTCCACTTCTTCTCCTTTATTTTCTTGTTCTTCATTTTCATTTTCTTCCTGATCGTAGTCAAAAATATGTTTACTTCACCAAAATGTTTCGGCTAGTATGGCATCTGGAGCTCGTTTTCCTCTTTATCTGGACTCAAATGGCATCGCAGTTTGATGATTGTGTCGATTACTGTCCACTGAAGTAGTCCAAATGTCGATGAGGGAAATGAATTTTTAGCGACATATTGACTCCAATTTTGGAAAAAACATCCAACATTCGTCGCATCCTTCATAATTGGGAGAACGATGTTTGCCTAAAAGTCCAATGATGATTTCTCTCTGTCAAAGTCTTCATACTTTACCAATTTCCGAATATCAGGACCATTTAAAACGCCTGAAATGAAATGAATATAAAAAATATATGAAATGAAGGGATGGAATTCTCCAGTGATGAATCAAAAAATGAAAATGAAGAACAAGAAAATAAAGGAAAAGAAGTGGAAGGGATGGAATTATCCAGCAATGAATCAGATTACTCAATGTTTTGATATAAAAAAGTTTTTTAATAATAAAATTAATACAAAATAAAAAATCAAACTCTCTGTACTTTTCTACAACTCTAATTTATCTATTAAATTTTTTCCTACAGATTTTCCAAAGATTTCGGCAAAAAATTTGGTGTTGAGTATGAAAAGATGAATATTTTGGAAAATCTTGTTTAAAAATTGTTTTCCAGCAAATAAGTAAACTTAAAGTTCAGTTTTGTGTGCGTATTTTATAAATTACTTCTTTTAGTATACTTTCCAACATTTTTGCCAGAAGAAGTAGCAAGAAATTTTAAATATTATCGAAAAATTGAAAAAAAAATAGTTTTTCGAATATTTGGTCCCAAAAATTGGGTTTTGGGATATAGGTTGTTCATAAAATGGGTTTATTTGTTCAGTAACTACATTTCTACAAAAAATCTTGACGATATAATTCGAATATATGCGAAAAAAATCGATTAATAAGTCTAAATTGGTGTATATGAAGCTAGAAAATACAAACGGTCATAAAAAAATAAATCGAGCTAACTTTTACAAACCCAGCGAGGGTTTTGCTATTGGATAGGTATATTTTCAGAAAAAAATAGTCCGGTGCGGTTTGATTTTTGATGTTGCACAGTGTAATCAAGGCCAAGGTCTTAAACAGTGGTTCAAAATAATATTTAGGACCAGTTCCTTATTATTATTAAATCTTTTTTAAACGTCTTGACATTTTCAGCTACTATTCCTAAGTATAACCCAAGTTCTCTCCCTGGAGACAACGACGGCCCCAAGTACAGACCCTGAAGAACCTCCAGAGGGATACTACGCGTTCGTGGAGTCTCCAAACGCAGAACCTCCTCGTGTTAGGCCGCCCCCTTACACGCACGCCTCTGTTGACTGCAGGGAGGACGAGGATAAAACCCCCCATGTGTCCCCTTTTAATTTATGTGGGGATTTAAATAAGGGAACAATTCCTAGGAACCCCATGGGACAGAATGTTATGGGATCTCCGTATCCATTGTAAGTAATATGTTTGTTGGTTTATAATATAGGGAGAAAGAATGTTGACATGGGTAAGATGTATATTTTCTTTGGTGAAACTTTCTTTAAAACGTTGAGCACATAATAACTATATTTTTTATACAGTTTATTAACTCAAGCAAATAATCATAACAATGAAATAGACCATATAACATACAAACCACACTGCAGTTGGTTATTTTATTTAAAAGAACAGATATTTTTGCTAAAAACTTTCTATTTCTTTTTGTGTGTAATTCATTGAAAAAAATGTTATAATACATTGTGTTATGGGTACTTAACCCTTAGTAAACTTTCTCAAATATAAACAGCGAAAAACTTTTACCGTTCAACGATGTTTATTACCTATGCAGTTTTAAGATAGTCTTACAGTTAATTTTAAACGATAGTTATTGCTTATTATAGTTAAAATTATGCGGGATTATAAGAATATTTAATTACTTTAAATTTAAAATATGAAATTTTAATAAAATTGGTTATTTTTACTATTAGGCAAAAATTTTCTTTCGACTCTAGTTTCTAAAATTGCTTCTTGTAATATTTGGCAGAACAGATCAAGTAATATATAGTAGATACATGTTGTGAGGTATTTTTATAGGTAATTAATTTTGTTTGTTTTTATTTTATTAGCGAACTTATAAGGAACATGACTTTAAAATACCTAAGCAGAACATTACCCATTCTAAAGGCAGACGAAACACTGCCAAAGGTTGCACAAATGCAAGATGACCTTATTTCACAAAATACGTGAGTACTTTTTTTATTATAAACAAAATAGATACGTGAAACAATCAGTAAGGCCTTAATTTTACATCAACGTTGTATTTTATATGTTCTTATCCAAGTGATGTACATCATTCCTGATGCAATCAGCAAAGGCTTCCTACACTCAGACCTTAGATGGTGCACTTTTATTCTGTGGGGGTATTCAAAAGAATGATTATATATTAAAAAACCGTTCCTTGGAAGACAGAAGTGAAGTAGATATATGAGGAAATAGAGTTCAAAATTGCATCATGAAAGGTGGACATCACTTAAATCATGTGTACAATGTTTGGATAAGAAATTAAGTTCTTATATTGGTTTACTCATATTTCTTCTAGTATTACACCATTCCAAAACCCAAATGACAGAGTTAAAAGGGACATAAAACAGGAAGAAAAAGTGGAAAAATCTGCTGAAATTAAAAAAACAGAAACTTCTAAAACTGATCAAGACAGACATGGGCGTAAATTTTGTGATCAAGGAGGTGTGTTTTGTATGCTATACAAAGCTATAAATGGTGATAGTTACGCAACACCAACGTCTTCTGCACATTTACCATTGGAAAGACGCGATGAAGTAAATATTAGTATATAAGTTGCCTATAGACTTTTTGATCCAAGTAGATTTGGAAACAGTATTTAAGAAAGTTATTATGATTTTTTTTCTTTAGGCACCTAACGCTCCAAGGTACGAAGGACCTCCCACCCCTTGTCCAGCTAAGGTTGAATATGCTACCCCAGTATTTGCCAAAAATTATCAAGGTATATGGAGATACGTTGTCCAAATCCCTTATGAAGGATATTTCACACAAACTGTAGAAGTAACAAGGTAATAAACACCATATTATATTATAAAAACGATGCTAACATTATATTACTTTTTAAGATGTCTTCAGTCAAGATGTCACTACTTAGATGGAGGGTGTCTATCATCCCCTAGATGGTCCAGTTTATTGGTGGCAGAAATTTACTACCCCGACACTGTTTTAAGCAGCAGTGACACGACAAACCCACAAAGAAGCCCTGTTGCCGCATCTCAACCCCCATCTGTTCAAGATTTCCAGGTAATGATCGACTGCGCTATTTTAAGTTAATTTTAATTGAAGATGAGTATTTTTAGGTTTTAAGCTCATAGTTTTAGATTTTATTGTACTCATTATATAGGGTGTTCCAAAAATTGCACACTTACACCATACCACGCGATTACTTGTATTATATTAATTATATGAGTTTGAGTTATGCTCCACACCTCAAAGTTCCACCACGTGACCACGTACGGAACGCAGTCTTTTAAAAATTTGGCATTAAATGCTTTTCAGGTTATGTATCTGTCAAAGTATAGTCAACGAAAGAAATAATATTATGTTTAGGCGTTAAAAATTTATAAATCTTTATAACATTACAATAACAATGGATGGTTTAAGAATATAAATACTGCATTTAATGAAATTCTAAAGTGTATGGTGTATAGTATTATTTTTGTGCATTTGGACCAAATATCTGGTTTTCTCCATAAAATAATTTTAACTAAACAGCATTTATTTAAAAAAATCTAACTTCTCTATTATGGAATAAGAATATCTGTATTAAAGGTAGGTTAATAATATTAACTTAATATATTATACCAAAAATATCATCTAATTTTGTAATTTTAAGGTTTTGACCAAAATAAATAAGTATTTTGGATTATTTAAAAGACAGTATAATATGGTATTTAAAAATGTGGTAGTTTTTCTTATCCAGCTTAAAGTGTACCTACATAAAGTTTTGTCAATACAAATAGTTAAATAGCTTCGACTGAATTTGTTCTACATCGAAAAATAATTATAACTTTAATATTTTAATAAATTGTAAAATTGTTTGTTTTCTTATAATCTAACTTAAAGTAGGTATGCCGAGAGGTATGCACAAGTTTTGTCGTTAGAAGTATAAAAGCTTCAATTTAATTTGAACCATATTCAACAATTATTTAGTATACCTATATTTATTTATGACCATATTAACACACTCTTCCAAATAATCCACTTATTTATTTTGGTCAAAATATATTTTTCTAACCTTAAAACACAAAATTAGATGATATTTTTTGTTCTAATACATTAACCTACCTTTGATACAAATATTCTTATTTCATAATAGAGAAGTTAGATTTTTTTAATAAATCCTGTTTAGTTAAAACTATTTTATGGAGAAATGTAGACCCAATGCACAAAAATATCACTTATATTGCACCTTACACTTTGGAATTTTATTAAATGCAGTATTTATATTCCTAAATTCTTAAACCAACCAGTGTTACTGTGATACTATAAAGATTTATTAACTTTTAACGCTTAAACATAAGCGGTAACACTATAAATATTATTTCTTTCATTGACTATTCATTGACAGATACATAACCTGAAAAGCCTTAAATGCCAAATTTTCAAAAGACTGCGTTCCGTACGTGGTCACGTGGTGGGACTTTGAGGTATGGAGCATAGTACGTATAGCTGGCCCCATCGGCATCATATATCCTGAACTGCAAAGCATTACCTATATTTAATGGATATAAAGTTTCCTTGAGAGATCGTGGATGGCAGTGTCGATGGTTAAGACCCCTCCCGGAATTTTGTCGCCGGGCCGGGCTTTACGCCCGTTTTTTTGGCTAGTGGAGTTCAGGACAAGGAGGGTAAACATTTTGGTTTTCGGGAGACGGTATATTGCCCAAAACTAAGTACAATCCGGAGTCCCCTTAGACCCGGGATTTAGTAACTCAATTGGGTTTCATGGATAGGGCTTGGTTGGTTAATACGCTTTGTGAGCCTATCATGCTTCTTGCGGTACTTCTTGTTTGTCTGCGTATGCTGAAAATTAGGTTTCTACTTTAGAATTGTTTGCCCCACTGTGCGAAAACTAAATCTTGTGTTCAGTACCGAAGTGTTGCCGTCCATGACGAGCCGTTCGCAGTGACCCTCTGCCTTCGTCGAAAATTCAACCGCTCATTCCAAGTATTAACTTCAAAGAAAATTTAGCCACTAATAATAATTATACCCATTAATTAATGGTTATAATTATTATTGGTTAATTACATGTACGAGTTCTTTGTTTGTTACTCTCTCTGGTCGCCACAACAGTTTCCAAAAAACTACAATCCCGTTAAAAAACACCTCACATAAACATTCATATCAGTCAAGTGCAGACAAAAAGTCTTATTATTCTCGTCAATAGCAATTTATATCCCGAACATTTAGCAGTCAATTTCCATGTAAAATTGTCACCTGAACCGAATATGTCGCCAAAAGTTATAAAAGTAGAACACTTTTTGAGATATAGTCAATTTTCCATATAATATGGAATTGACCTTATCTTAAAGACTGCTCTACTTTCATATTTTTTTTACGGTATTCTCGGATTTAGGGGACAATTTTACATAAGAATGTTGGGGATACCATGGTATCCCATGGTTAACCATGGTATAAGTTAAAAAGCAGCCACTAATAACTGTAGTAAGTAGTCATTTTTGACTAATTTATTTTTACAGAGTACGGTTGCGAAATTCGCGTTAGGATTAAGTATTAAGTATTGGGAATTATGTTATGTTAATGTTAAGTTTACTTATCCGGTTTTAGCCGGTTATAATTCAGGTGCAATGACACCGTTTGGCAGGTGCGATGAGGTTGGCCCTTTGTCTTGACCGCCCACTGTTTGCACGCATAAGGTTGATAATCCAGAAAAGATTAATCGCTTTAACCCTTTACTTCACTTACACACATTTTCGCAGGTAGAGCATCTGAGTAAACCTCAGGTGAGAATGCCACCTTACACCTTTTTTAATTAATTCTGGCAGACCACGAGTATATTGCTATGTTTGATTCTAACCCTTGTCACTGTTGGGAAGTACGGGCGAGCTTATACGTGCCTAGACACACGAACACTTTCCTCGAGGTGTAGAGCGCAACTGCTTTTATTATATTATTTTTTTTAAATACAGTTTTTCCGTAGTAGTTTTTGAACTTCGTAATAAAAGGTTGTAATGTTTTGAGTTTTGATAAAATTGTCAAAACTTTATCTGTCCACCATGTTTACCTCAGGTCCATTATTATTGTTTTTATAACATTTTTGTATGTATGATATTTACACATGAAACATTTTTTTTTTAAGTCGAAGACTAATTGTCATAAATTGTTTTAATACTTAATATTTTTGGGACAACCTGTATAAGGTAAAGTTTACCAAAAGGCTATATTTTTAATATAAATTGCTTTTTAGAACTATCAACAATACTTGCACAAACGCGCAGGTCTTCAGGCCGCGCCGGTGGACAGTTCCACAACATCGAGACCCACGCATTGCGATGGGATTGACGCCTTGGGCTGTTTCCAGGTACGGCTCTACTACGATTGGTTTCTGATTCCGGGCTCTTGCAAATGCTGGCGACCGGATTATTTCAACAAATACGTAAGAAGGAAGTCAGATCTATAATTTTTTTTTAATAACGCGGTAATAGACTGAGCTCTCTTGTGCTTTAATAATAATTTAAAAAATGAAGACCAGTGTTTTTGTTGGTAGCACTGGGGGATACTAAAAAAGGTTTAGATTTAGAAAGAGACAAAATATTTTAATGACGATTTTTCTTCAAGTTCTCTTTATTTCGAAATCTAAATTTAACACTTTGGTACCTTTTTTAGCATTTCCCTGCCCAAGCAGCATTTTAAGTTAAAATAACTAAATGTTTACCCATAGGTTGGTAATTTTTACATTAAACGAAAACGGTAAAGTAACGGCACAAATACGAAAAATTGCCAGTTTGGGAAATTATTTTTACTACATAATAACTATCCAAGCGACCAAAAGAATAACGTAATAAAAACAAATTAAATACCACATATAATCTGTCTTTCTAAACCTTTAAAAATAAAATATATTTATATATATATATATATTTATATCCAACTAATTACAGACAAAAGTTTTAAACAATGTATTTATTTTTATCTAAAAACTTTCTTAATCAATATCATACACAATCCAAATTTATCTCTATCCAAATATTTGCCTCTTTAAATTATTTTTAAAAATGATAAAATTAATAAATATAACTTCTATTGACAAAACTAATTATATTTATCATTAAAACTCAAACGCTTCTTATCTTATTAATAAAAATAGCTTTGCTCGAATACATCACAAAAAATCTATACCCGCTAAATATTTTAGTTTAAAAAAATGTATGACTTTAATTAATTAATTTTTAATGGCGTCTTTTAGAAATATCAACCCTTTAGTTTTATTTTTTCTCTTAAGCAATTGAAAATAATTTTTTGTACCTTAAAAAGGCAAATAAGAATTATTTACGTTAATTAATATAGAGAAAATACTACGTTTAAGTATACCTATTTTTAAAAATCCCTTAAATTAAAATAAACCTGTCAGTAATTTTCTTTCGTAAAAATAACGTTACATAAACATTACTAAAATACTTTAAAGTTGTAAAATCTTATGTAAAGAAAGGAAAAAACTCATACTAAAAACTTACGATATTACTTGACAAAATAGTTTACTTTATTGTTATAATTACTTAAATTAAGTAATAAATCTGCAAAGCTCTACTATTTTACTTAAAATGCTGCTTCACATGCATAATTGTTAAATCTTGTTATACTATTTATTACGTTAAGATTTATTTATTTATTGTCACTGGATAAAAAAGACTTGCACATAAATTAGTTAATATTAGTTGATGTAATTGTATTAAAAAAAAGCGATTTAATTTAATTTTTATTAAATAAACATCCTTAAAATTAAATTATTTTGCTTTTGTAAGGGTGGGAGAAGGTTTTTTTTGTATTGTATTATACTGTATAATATTTTATAAAATAAACAAATCATTATTTATATCTTGTTTTTTTTAACTTAACACAATCCAACCGATATTGTTTATAAATGTTATGGAATAGACTGTAATATATTTGACCATGAGCAGGAATTGACGCGCAGCCATAGTTAAGCAGGAAATATATAAGGCACGGTCTATATCAGACCGTAAGATAAGGTCAAATTTTTAACCTCACTTAATCAAGCTTAAATTTAGTTTATTTTTCTATTTTTCTGACATAGATAGTGTTTTCCATTATAACTATGTTAACTAATAGTATTCCAGTGAAGGTGAGTGATTTATTTGTAGATTTCTTATGCTAAATTTATATTATTTCAGTTTATTTTTATAAAAGATGCGGTTTTAAGTATTGGTATTAAGTATTAGGGGCGGAGAAAGCAGATATTATTACCGAGGCGTAAGCCGAGGCAGTAGATTATGTGCGAGGCAATTAATAAGCTTTCACCGCCGGGTCTTCCATACTATTTTTTTTCAAGAATTTAATTAAATAAATTCTTAAGATTCTGTCAAATCATTTTTAGGTTAGGTTCAACTGACATGATGACATTTTAGCTTTATTTCTGTACTGTAAAATTATAGTTTGCTTGAAAAAAAAATTACAAAAAATATTCAATTTTATTTCCACGCGGTCTATAATTTAAACTTTATTGTTGTCAACATTCGATAAAGAAATACCTTGTTATGGCCTAGGCCGATAAAAAATTTTATGAGGCAAATAATTAGTTTTTTCTCGCTAGGGGTATTGTTTTGACAAATTAATCATTTTCTAAGAAATTAACGTACTAAACTGGTTTAATTTATATATAATAAGACCTAATTTGTTTGTTTGACTGTTAATGTTAAATATTTTTCATTAAATTATTGTAATATTAAATATGAATAATAAAACAAAAAGTGAGGTTAGGCAACCAAGAAAACGCACGATTCTTTTTGTACGATTTAAATTATCTTTAAGTTTTAATTTGCTTTAAGTTTTCAGTAAAATTAAATGTTAAACACAGCTTAAACATTCCAAACTACCTATTTTTTAAATAAATATCCAAACAAATTAGATACCTACCTATTAAACAATTAATTGAATTCAATGTAATAGCAAAAATCCATTTCTACTTAAATCATGCTAGGTATTGTCAAACCATTACTGCTTCTAAAAGCAATAATAATTATTGTACATTTAATGTAATCTTTAGCTAATAAATAAATGAGATTCTAAAAAAGTGAGGTTAGGCCGCTTTGATGTTGAATTAAATTGACCTATATAAAGTGCTTTGAAGATAAAATGTTGTATGTCATTCGGCCAAGAAGTGCCTTTTTGTGCTTCGCTCAATTGTAGGCCTCCGCTACGCGTCGGCCTTCAAAACTTGAGCTTAGCACAAAAAGCCTTTCTTCTTAACCTAATGACATAAATAACTATTATAGTTCACAGTTAATAAAATTGAACAATTGACAAATAAAACTAAATTTTAGATAGCCATTATCGGGGGTTCAGGTCTTAATGACCCGGACATTCTAAAAAATCGTAAAGAAAAGTTTATAAAAACTCCTTACGGAGATCCATCCGATGCCTTAATATTCGGAAATATAGATGATGTAGAAGTCATCCTATTGGCTAGACATGACAGGAAACATACCACCATGCCAACCAACGTAAATTACAGGTATAAAAAAGTTTTTAAACTTGGGACAAAAGTATTTAAAGATTATTTTAAACATTACTTTTAGGGCTAACATATGGGCATTAAAACAAGAAGGTGTAACCCATATCCTAGCAACTACAGCTACTGGTTCACTCCAAGAGCACATCAAACCAGGTGATCTGGTTTTGTTAAGCAGTTTTATAGACAGGTTACCAACTTAACTTAAAAAAAAAACAAGTTTTTTTAATTTTAAATCATAGAACCACAAAACGCCTTCAAACCTTCCATGATGGGGAATCATGTCATCCATTGGGAGTTTGTCATTTACCAATGGAGCCAGCTTTCTCTGAACCACTGCGTCAAACAGTGCTGTCAACCGCAAAATCCCTTGATATCCCCATACACGAAAAAGGCACAGTGGTGGCCGTAGAAGGTCCACGATTTTCCAGCTTGGCTGAAAGCCTGATGTTCAAACAATGGGGCGGGGATGTCATAAATATGACAACAGTGCCTGAGGTAAGTAACCATCATTTTGTATTCTGTTGTTATACATCTTTGATGGTTTGTAATTGAATTTAAATTCTGAATTGCTTCTTCACGTCAGGTTCTTGAGAAATCCTAGGTACCGTAAACACGAGTGGCTTTAGCTCACTTTCAAACTTAAGCTTAAAATTTTTGTGGTTTTAACAATCATAAACATTAAATTTTGTATACCAAAATTTGAGTCTTGATTTGCTCTTTCATAATATCTATGTTATAATATTACATAGGGCTGAGTTTCAAAAATAAAAATTAAAAACTGGGTGTGCAAAGTTACCCCCTGGTTGCGGGTTACTTTGTCTCACAGTGTATTTTCCGTATAAAATGAATTCAATATTACATTTTATTTTTATTAGACACGTGTTATCAGCGACATATATCTATTGCAAGGGATTACCGATAAAAAAATAAAAAATCGACCTGTAGTTAACCAAGGATCATCATTCCAAAGGATTCCGCATAATATAGAAAACGTAACGCGTGTATTTCTAAGAGTTTTGCACTGATGCGATATATACAATTTTAAAGTGTAATAAATCCCATTTCTTTCTTTAAAACACTGATTTTCCTGTAATATAAACTTAATAGAATCGCTCAATTGACAGGTTTAGACCAACAAATTATAAATGTTAATATTATCGAACGCGAAAAGATTTTTCATAAATGGGTTAAAGTCACCCGCGGGGTGCAATGTCACACAATGTGTTTACAGTATGTAAAAAACTTGTTTTGTTACATTTCAAAATATTTTTCCTCAGAACTTATCATGCCATCTAGGAATCTTTCTCCCAAAATCCCAAAGTCATAAATTTTAGCTAAAGATTTCTCAAAGAGGAGAAGGATATTGAGAATGTTTCAAAGGGATTTTGAAGGGGAAAGTTCTTTTAATTGACGTAAGTGAGGTGGGGTAATTGTGATGTAAAATTTGACTAGTGTAACTTTAAAGATCTATTAAAATTTAATTTTTATTGCAAATATTGTGTGAAAATTCCTGAATAATCCTTGGTCCTTCACCAAACGATATCTATAACCTAAACAATAAATCGATACAGGGGCTACCTGAAAATTATTAATATTTTCTTTTATGTCAATGTATCACATTTGCCCGAGATTTTGGGGCAAATGTGATAATGGACCGTTCCTTACTTCCAATGGAGGTATCTGTTGGGTAAATGTAAAAATCACAATTTTTCTGTAAATTTTGCTTTTTGAATCATTTAATTATTACAAAAATAAGAAAGTTATTCTACAAAAACATAAAAAATTAAAAATATAAAAAACTTAACACAAATTGTAGCCGTCAAACTTCAGTGGAAAAATATACTAGCTCTAACCGGCTCAAGTAGATCAGGGATGTAAGTTTTATCAGTTTAGTACTAAAGAAAGCAATTTTAATGTTTTTTTTTTAAATTTTACCATGTAATATCACATTTGCCCCATTTTTACATTTACCCCACTCCACCTTATCGAGTTTTGTGCAGAAATATATATTGCAACGAAATATAACTCCAAATATTAAAGACAAAAACTGCGTGTTTTACCTTTGGATTAGAATTTCTCAAAATGTGATGGAGTAATTTTAAGATCAACAAATTTTGTAAACCAGTGTAATTTTTTTTTAGGTCGTGTTAGCTAAAGAAGCAGGTATTTTATACATTTCCCTAGCTTTAGCTACTGATTATGACTGTTGGAGGGAAACTGGTGAAAAAGTTACTGTAGTTGATGTTTTAAAGACTTTTAAAAACAATGTTGACAAAGTTATAAAGCTAATTACCGCATTAGTCCCTATAATCAATAAAGGAAGCTGGGATGAACACGTTAAAGAGCTAAGAGTAAGTTTTGTTTCAGTTTTGAATGCATTTTTTATGTTATTTATTTGTAGGATTGTGTACAACAAAGTGTTATGGTACCGAAATAAAAGTTTCTTTACATTTAATTTTTTTTTTCATAAGTTAAACCAAGTTTGCATACGCAATTTTTTTTAATGGGATATTGCCTTTTTACTGTTTTTTTTTGAAGAAGAGGAAAAAGATGAGGGGAGTTAAATTACTACTCGGTGACCAATTTGTATTTTCTTGTCAATAAATAGGGTAACATAAGTTAATAAAGCAAGCATCAGTATTACGTAAAGCGTTTATTATTTCCGAGGTTGGCAAACCATCAAATAGTTTGTCTTCACTTTTATCCGACGTATTTTGAATTGCAAAAATAACATTTTGGTAAGTTTTACTTTTAACTTTCTTTATCATTACAGAAAGTGTTTTAAATAGGTTTATAAATTAATAAATAAGACTATAGATATCATAAAATCAGCAAGACAATGTTTAGCGTTATATGGACATTGTGCTCTGATTTTTCCCTACTCCACGATAAGAAGACTGATAAATTTTACTTAGCAACTCGTTGCGTATACGAAAAAAGCAAAACTAGATTGATCAACACTATGCTTCCCCATTCCGCAACTCTAGTTTTACTTCTTTTCAATTTTATTCTTGTACGCTAAGAAAAGTTATATTTTGACATTACCCACTAAGCAAAATACCATTGCATTAACGTTACTGTGATGTTACCAATTACCGTGTAACGTTACAAGGCTGATCACATAAACGCTGCATCAACGTGTCAGTGAAGTTAAATGTCCGCCCTACTAACGTTACAATTTAACGGTACAGCTTAACGTTAAAACAATGTTACATTTTATTGTCACTGCAACGGAACTTGTGACGTTAATGCAATGGAATCCATTACCTACAGGTAACGTTAAATTGTGACGTTAACGTATCGTTTGATTTTTAACGTTGGCACAATGTAAAATTTGTTACTATTAATTAACTTGTTTGTGACCGTGGCGGGTGCTGGGTTTTGGTTATACAGATGTCTGTTATTAGACTTTTGACCCACACCAAATTTATATAAGTTTATAATGGCATTAAGGAGACAATTTCTACTTAAGAAGAATTAAATTTTGCGAAAAAAGATAGTTTTCAGTGTAACCCTCCAGCTCTTGATCCAGCTAATTGACATAGATATTTCAAATTGTAATGGTGCAATAAATATTTCACTTTTAAGTTTATCAAATTAGTACAAGTATTACAGATTTCATATATATGAAAATATTTTAAATTTTACTAAATAAAAAAAATAAAAATGGTAAAAATATGCAATAAAATAAAAATTGAAATTTTTTGATAAACTACAATGAATTTTGAATTGCACTACTTAATTTAAAATGTTAAGAGAAGGGCCCAGAGACTGGAGGAGCACACTGAAAAACTAACTGCTTTGCAAACTTTAACTTAAATCCTGCTTGTGCAAAACTTGCCTATTTATTGTCATAAACTTATGTTTGGTGCGAGTCCCTTGTCTAATAACTGAGATATCATTATATCCAAAATCCACCACCCACCCCCAGTGAAAACTTTGTGGGTGGGTTTTTTAAAAAAAAGTAAAAAATAACGAGAATTGCTGTATTAAAAACAAAATAAAAATATATATTATATTATATAAAGATATCTTTGCCTTATAAGAATTAACGTTTTAAATAAATATAAATAAAATATCTAGTTTAATAAAATTAACAACTTAAAAAAAACACTTGAAGTTTGGGAGGTTTTAAACTAAAAATTTTAATTTTAACTCTCTCTCTCTCCATTCATGTTTTTATGTTTATTTAAAACTTTACGTAGATCCATCGCATAAAGTTAAAATCCCACTTGGATTAAATTAACCTAAAAAATAATATAATATTAAGTACCTATATTATACGAAAATTTTTCATTAGTTAAATAGATGACATATTAATAATGCTGCCAGAAGTTTTAGTAAAAAAAAACAATAAAACCTAAAGAAAATATATTTTAAGTACAAGGCAAAAAAATCACCAGCAAACAAAATGGCACCTGCTTTTAAACAAATAAAACTTTTTATTTATGTTTAAATATAAATAGAGCCATGCAGGTACCAATGTTAAAAACTATAGTTTTTAACATCCTAAATTTATTGAATACTATTTTTTTGTTGTTCCGTTTTTAGCGTGTAAATAAAACAGCCTGTGATTACTAATAAATTAGTAAGAGACTGTCTCTGAATTAGTTCTGAAATCAGAAAACTAAACAATAGAATTGAGTACTTACCTTTAATAATCAATTATCTCGAACTACACAACCAGTCACAAAACTCTTTAATAATTTATTAATAATAAATGACACAGAGCAATATGACACCACGAGAGTTTGGGCCAAGCGTCTATTCTGGAATATTTATCATGACGTTATTGTGCCCAGCCAATAAAAACGCTATGAATATTTAGTCACAATCTAACGTTACCATTCCATCGCATTAACGTCTCAAGTTGCGTCACGTCAACGCTTTAAGTTCCGTTGCAGTCACAATAAAATGTAACATTGTGTTACCGTTAAATTGTAACGTTAGTAGGGCGAACATTAAACATCACTGAGACGTTGATGCAGCGTTTATGTGATCAGCCTTATAACGTTAGTTGGTAACATCACAGTACCGTTAATCCAATAGTATTTTGCTTAGTGGGATTGTTTATAATATATATATATATATATATATATATATATATATATATTAGGGTGTGCCAAAAAAACTCGAAATAGTTTTTTTCTTGCTCTCCACCCAAAATATCGTAGAATATGTCCGAACAAATATTCTGTTAAAAGCGGAGCTCATAATTTCAATTTTAAGAAGTCCCTCATCGAATCTGAAGTTTTGCCGCTTAAATAGCACAGAAAACTGACCTTTTTACCTTATTTATTCTTGCAACCTAGGAAGAATTTTTTTTTTCATAAAATCCATGACCAAATCTTACACAGCATTAAACTGGGACGAAAAAATCTTATTAAGCCGAATTTCTATTTTCATTATTTAATTTTTTACAGAGCTTTAAATTTAAAATTTTACGTTTTTTGCCTTTTTCAGCTAAACTATTGAAGTTAGACGAAAAAGTCAAATGGTAATTTTTTAGCTTGTCTGATGGACCACAAAAAAGTTTTAGGCGAATTTTTTATATCGTCAATATTCTAAAAGTTACAGGCGTATAAAGTCATCATTTTTGTATTATTATCTTTAAATTTAAAGCTATGTAAAAAATTAAATAATAAAAATAAAAATTCGGCTTAATAAGATTTTTTTGTCCAAATTTAATGCTTTGTAAGAATTAGTCATGGATTTTACGAAAAAAAAAAATCTTCCTAGGTTGCAAGAATAAATAAGGTAAAAAAGTCAGTTTTCTGTGTTATTTAAGCGGCAAAACTTCAGATTCGATGAGGGACCTCTTAAAATTGAAATTATGAGCTCCGCTTTTAACAGAATATTTGTTCGGACATATTCTACGATATTTTGGGTGGAGAGCAAGAAAAAAAAAATATCGAGTTTTTTTGGCACACCCTAATATATATATATATATATATATATTTATATATATTTGGCCAGCATACAAAGTGAGGACTTGTCTTAGCACGTATATTATGAGGACCGGTAGAAGGAGTCAAAATAGAAACACAATTAATATTAAGTTACGCTTAATATTAAATTAGTAACAGGTGGGTAAAGAATATACACGTAAAATGTTCATTTAAATATTTTCGAGTATATCAGAACAAAGTGAGGACCCTATATCTGTCTATTCAAGTGAGGACCGTTTATAATTTTTTATGCTACCCATTTTATGAGGTCCATCGTACTTTTGTAAAACTGTGTAACAGTTGACAATACCACAAAGAAATTACATCCTTGGACAAATACACAAAAGTTATATACAAAAGTGCTCTTTTAGTTCCACCCTTACTTCCTAAGAAGTCCCAAAAGCCAACTGAATGGCCTGAGCGGGTTAGGGGTAGGAACGGAGCGCAGGTCTAAAGGCCCCTCCACCTTTACGGGTTAACATATGATTAGACTTATTAATATTTATTAGATATTTTGTTATTTATTATACAGGGTATTAATTTTAAAACTTCCCAAAGTAAATTTCTCTTAATCTGAAAGGTTTCTGAAAAAACGCCGAGACATGTAAAGTTTAATATCGAGGGGTACAATTTTGCATGATAAAAATTGGTTTCCCACCCTTACCCTCTGCGCCCTTAAAAATTTGAATAGGTATCGAGTAATACATCATTTTAAAGGTCTTTGAAGTCGTCCGTTCGTTTTTAATATATTTTAGAAAAAATATTCTTAGGAGTTAGACATTATAGAAAAAAAAATAATGTAATAAATGCTCAAAAATTTGGTTACCCAACCTTACACCCTGCACCCAGCAGATATAGGAGTAAAAAACGTTTAACCTAAAGGATCTTGAAAAAATATTGGTTTACGGATACCACTTGTTTTTATTGTAAATTGAGGTGTCTAAATCCGATTTCGATAAAATTTTTGACCTAACGGGCCTTCAGAATATTTTGGTTTCCGGATACCCGAGTCACCACTTGTTTTAAAATTTTCATAATTTACAACTAGCACTAAACTGGGCGGAAATTTAATAATTAAATAATATTAGATAAGTTGCGGTCGCGGCGCGATAATTCTCATGCTAGCCAACTATAGCTAGTTCAATAATAATAAATAATTAATTATGAACATTAATATAGTTCTACAATATATTCTTATTCAGTTTTTTAACATTTGATTTATTTATTAGTGTTGCATTTGTTTTTGATTTTTTGTAAGGCCTATAGGCCCATACGGTATATATATTTGATTTTGTCTTAATAAAGAATTAATAAAGGGTTCAAATAAAACTAAAAAGCACAAACCGGCTCTTTTATACAAAAAACACGCTTTTAAAAAATAATGTAATTTAATTAAAAATATTTTGTTCCGATAGACAAGGTTTCAAAAAACTTACGCCAATGCTTGGCTGGAGATTTGTCATCCAAAAATAAGAAAAAAGTTCATACAAACGTAGTGCCAGAAATGCTTAGTTTTAAAGATACTTACATTACACACATTTTTTTCAAAACTTTTTTAAAATATCTTAAATATCGTTTGCCAGGTTTTGTTGAAAGTGGGCAATGTTATTTATTGGTTTTGTTAATTTTCTCCAAACCCCTTGATTAATTAAAAAATAATAGGAAGTATTTTTTGTTTAGCTTAAAAAAGGTGCAAA